GGAACTCACTCTGTAGACCAGGCTGGCCTAGAACTCAGAGATTCGTCTGCCTCTGTCTCCCAGTGGTGGAATTTAAGGAGATGATCATTTTGTTAGTCAGTCTGATGACATTTGTTTTTTAGTTTCTGGATTTCAAATTTCAACTACAGAAATTAATCATTTATTAAATTAAAATTCAAATTTTGGTAGCCATAAAGCCATAAATTAAGAGGCCAAATCCAAGTATTTTGTTGTTGTTGTTTACCCTAATTATTTAATTGAATAATTCATTAATTAATTTTGAAATAGAGCCTTAAAATATAGTCCTGCTGTCCTGGACTTTATTATGTAGACAAGGCTGGCCTTGAACTCAAAGATCTGATTGCCTCTGCCTTCTGAATGCTAGGGTTAAAAGTACCCAGCTTTTTCCTGCTGGCCTACAGAAACCAGAAAAGGGTAGTAGAACTCCTAGAATTGGAGTTATGATTGTGAGCCATCATGAAGAAGGTAGGAACTGAACCCAGAGCAAGAGCAGCCAGTGCTCCTAACCATCAAGCCATCTATCTCTCCAGTGCCCCACAACTAATTTAACTTAACTTTGGGAAGGATGTCATTATGCTGTTAATAGGTGCTCACTAAATACTGATTGCTTAGCTGTTTGAATCCTATTTGGAGAAATTTAGCAATTGCACAGTGTTTTCTATGCATTCTCTTTTCCAGAGCAGATAGCTTATATTTAACAATACAACTCTATGTATACAGTACTTCCGAATTTGCACAGTACTTTCACGTACTTCATGCCATGTATCAGAGACCACCACAAGCACTTCTCAGCCTTTTGGCTAAGATCAAGTACAGAAGCTGTCATGACTTTCCCCCCTCATATTCTCAGAAATTTTATAGTCATTTCAAATGATGACAAAACCAAACCAAACAACACAATGTGACGTAAACTACCCCAACAACAGGAACCTTCACTTTGCTTCTTTTTTGTGTTCTTCAGTGCTGGGGTTGGAGCCAGGGCCTCATGTATGCTAGGTCAGAGTTCCATCACTAAGCTACAGTCCCACTTCCTCCTTGTTTCTTTTAAAAATGTCTGTGTCCACATTCTTACCTTTGACCTTATGCAAACAAGTGTTAACTTTCAAGTTCATAATCAAACTAAAATAAAGTTTTTTTGTTGCTGTTGTTTTGGCTTTGGTTTTAGAGATAGAGTTTTTCTATGTATCCTTGGCTGTCCTGGAGCCTGCTCTGTAGACCAGGCTGACCTCAAACTCAAGAGTTCTATCTGCCTATGCTGGGATTAAAGGTGTGCATTACCATGCCTGTTTTGAAAATAAACTATTTTTAATAATATGCCAAGTTAACAATTTAACAAATATGACTTCTCCAAAGAATGAATAGTATTAACCGCTAATAACACTAACAAGTAATCTATAAGTGGTTACGCAGAATATAAAACCAGGAGTTTTGAAGAAGATTGCATAGAACTCCAAGTATACATTCCAATTAAAAAAAAAATCCCTTCCAGATTATATTCATCTGTTCCTAAGGTTTCAAGCCACCATGTTTAATAGGCCCATAGGAAAATACCCTCAAAATGCCAACTGGAAAGATAAGGTCCTTTTCTACTTTTTTCTGTATAGTCCAAATTTCAACTCCCCAAAAGCTTTTCTAAAACATTTTTAGATTTATTTATTAAATACTTATTAAAGTATATGAATATTTTTCCTACATGTATGTCTGTGTACTATGTGCATATTTGGTGCTGGTGGAGGTCAGAAGAGGGTGGTGTCCAATCCTCTGTATCTGGAGTTACAGATGGTTGTGAACCACCATGTGGGTGCTGGGAATTGAACTCAAGTCTGCTTCAAGAGCAGCCAGTGCTCTTAACCACTGTGAATTGTCTACAGGCTCCAAGAAGCTTCCAACTCATTAGTATTGTAAGAAATGGAAAATATTATTGATAAATAACTCCTTAGTTATTTGGGCTATGTAACATAAAAATATGCGGAGGACAGGATGGATGTGGTGGTACATGCCTTTAATTCCACCACTCAGGAGGCAAAAGCATGCTGATCTCTGTGAATTCACAGCCAGCCTGGTCTCTAAAATGAGTTCTAGGACAGCCAACACAACACAGAGACCCAATCTCCAACAATATATAAGCTGGGCATGGTGGCACCTGCCTTTGATCCCAGCACTGGGAGGCAGTGGCAGGCAGATCTCTGTAAGTTTGAGGCCAGGCTGGTCTTCAGAGTGAGCTCCAGGACAGCCAGGGCTATACAGAGAAATAAAAAACCAAACCAAACCAAAATATACTACCTACCTACACATATGTTATACATACACATAATCCAGCTAAAATAACTTAGCTAGCAATGCCAATTTGTTTATCAAAATACTAGATTCAATTTATAACTCAGTGGATAAGTAAGAGCCAGTTCACTCATGTTTATAAGTAAGTACATTACTAAAATCAGGATATGATCTAGTTGTTAAAGATAACAACTGTTAAAAAGTAAATAAAAGTAAATATCTTTTAAAGAAAAAATATTGGGTTAAACCCACCAGTAACAAAAACCTATTTGTTGCTATGTTTAAGATAGATAGCTTATAAACATGAATTTAGCCATCTTCTACTTTTAAACATTGCACACATTTTTCTCACTCAAAGATGTAGCTGCAAATCTGGAAAATATTACAGCTTTATCATTTTCTTTGTTTTGTTTTGTTTTTGTTTTTTTGAGACAGGGTTTCTCTGTGTAGCCCTGGCTGTCCTGGAACTCTCACTCTGTAGACCAGGCTGGCCTTGAACTCAAGAGATTCGCCTGCCTCTGCCTCCCAAGTGCTGGGATTAAAGGCGTGCGCCACCACCGCCCAGCTTAATCATTTTCTATATAAGATTGTACGTTTAAAATCTTTCTAATGGGCAAAATGGTACTCTGGATCTCTTCAGACCATATAAAATTTTCAGCTTAGTATTACTAACAGGCAAAGTAATGAACTCATCTTTACTCTCCTCAACCTCAGCTCCATGACTAGAGAGAGAAGCCATACTCTAAACATCCACAACTGATTCTACTTAGATGCTTAGTGAGAACAGAACACTGCCTTTGAAATGTGTATTAGGTAAAATGTAAGGAGTACTAATAAAACCCACATTTAGAAGTTAACAGTCGGGCTGGTGATATGGCTCAGTGGTTAAAGGCACTGACTGCTCTTCCAAAGGTCATGAGTTCAAATCCCAGCAACCACATGGTGGCTCACAACCATCTGCAATGAGATCTGATGCCCTCTTGTGGGGTGTCTGAAGACAGCTACAGTGTACTTACATATAATAAATAACAAAAAAAAAAAAAAAAGAAGTTAACAGTCAGAAAATAATAATACCACAAACAAAGTGTCACCACATGTACAACTTTTGTTTTGTTTTTTCGAGACAGGGTTTCTCTGGATAGCCCTGGCTGTCCTGGAACTCACTCTGTAGACCAGGCTAGCCTCAAACTCAGACATGTACAACTTTTATACGGCAGAGGAGCACTTTATTTCTTTCTAGTTCATATTCCTTATGCTTCCTTTATCAAATCTTCCCTAGGACAGCTTACAGAGGTTCTCTCTAGATCTGCAAAACTGACAGAAATCAATTAAATAATAATAATAATGTCCCCTTCCTTCTCTTTCTGGTCTTCTCTGAAAGCTTTGACCCTTGTCTCACTCTGCAGGCTTGTCCAACCCACGGCCATGGGCCACAGACAGCCAAGGATAGTTATGAATGATGCTCAACACATAATTACAAGCATACTTAAAACATTATGAGAATTTTTGTAATTTTTTTAACTTGAATGTGTGGTTATTGAGGGTGAACTTTGTCTTGATGTCAAAACACTGGACGAGCTTGGAACCATACACGAGAGGACAGGTATCACTGCTGCAGTGTTTCTACAAAATAGAATGTAATGCAAACGAAATCATATCTTGCAAAAAGGTTTTGAAAACATTACATTTTTCTCTAAGAAGCAAAAGCAGTGGTAACTACTGGAAGGATTTGCTAGTGTGCTGGGGTCTACCAGCCTGTCCATGGTGTGCTTGGATGTGTCACAGCTATGGTTGTCAGGTTCTAGCCTATACTTCTGAATACTTAGCTGTCTGGGGAACAGTGCAAGTCTCCAGCACTCACCACATTTTAAGGAGTTGATTTCCAAAGAGTATGTGTTCTTATGAAGCTTCATTACTGAAATGCTAAAAGATTTGATGGAGGTAATCTTACTTGTGAAATAAAAAACATATCTTAAAAACAAACTGAAGTAAACATTGCAATAATGGTGGAATAAGAGTAAGGTTCCAGGGCAGGGGCTGGAGCTTAACTTCAGAACTAGAATACACTTGTAGGATACAGAATTCTCATTTCACTGAAAATATACACTTCTATGTGTTATGGTAGCAGATTCTCACAGTCCTTAAGAACAGATGAAACTTTCTATGTACTGTATATGCAGGGTTTACTTTAATTAGGTATATGTGGAGGGTGAGGTCTATGAGTGTGAGTGCAGGTGCTAGTCAAAGCCAGAGGCAGTGGCTCCCTGGAGCTCAGGTTACAGGTAGTCATGAATCAACTGACATGGGAGCTACCATCCCCTGCAAGAACAGTATATTCTCTTAACCACTGAGCCATCTCTCCAGCCCCTAATAGTTATATATTGTTTTAAAATGCCTAGCTAAGCCGGGCGGTGGTGGCACACGCCTTTAATCCCAGCACTTGGGAGGCAGAGGCAGGCGGATTTCTGAGTTCGAGGCCAGCCTGGTCTACAGAGTGAGTTCCAGGACAGCCAGAACTACACAGAGAAACCCTGTCTTGAAAACCAAACAAACAAACAAAAAGATGCCTGGCTAAGAAGTTATTGACATTTTTAAAATGCATATTCCTATTTGTTAAACACATAAAGATTAAGATGCGATAAAAACATAAATGCCCTTATAAACTACCTTTCTAGAAGCCAGTGAACTTGAATGTCTCCTACCTGTTGGATAGTAGGCTTGGGAGTACTGCGCTGAGGGTGTGTAGTTACTATATTTTTGGGAGGAGCTGACCATTGTTTGAGGGCCTTGTTGAACGTGTACAGATGTGGCACTGGGCTGCAGCGTATAAGTAACCTCAGTTGGAAATCTCTGCAGTACAGGAAATGGAACCCCTTTATCTGAAAAAGTGGGAGACGTCTCCACTTGTCCAGGGTGCATTCCAAGGGAGTTCTGCCATGTTCGAGGAGGAATCGGGGTGCGATCTAAACCTTTCAGAGGGAAGGTGCTGTGGTTGTGGGATGACGTTGATACATAGGAGTAAGGAGACAGATTATCTCGCCGGAATGACCGGTGAAATTGTCCTACAGCCACTGGTCCTGCATAAAAGAGGAAGAACACATTTACAAACTTTACAATACACCATCAGACAGTAAACCAAAGGTCAAAAAAAAAAAAACCTGTTCACTTATTAGATTTTTTTAATGCAATAGAATTTTGAATTTTGCAAAAACTAATTCAGAATACAGTGCTGAAAGAATAAGCAACTCTTGATTCTTAACAGGACTGCCAGAAAAGGTAAAGTGGCCATAAGATTGAAATTAAACCCAAACTAGGAATCTTCCAGGGAGGTCTTTCAAGCCATTTAGAAACTTTAATAAGTAGTAAAGTATCACTCTACTACACACATCAATGTTCAGAATAAATAGGAATTCATAACATGAGCCACAAAAAGATATCACACCCTTTGTTCCCCTTTCAATTAATGTTTTGTCTCTTTATTGCAATAATTAAGTAACTATTTCCTTATTGTTTGAGCGTGCCTGCTATGCATGTGTGTGGCTGTCAAGAAGGTTTTCTGGAGTTAGTTCTTCCCACTACCAAGTGGGTTCTGGGAGATGGAATTCAGCAAGCATCTTTACTTTCTCAGCCACCTCACTGGTCCCTTTATTTATTATTTGACAATTATTTATATAGTTAATTTTTGGAGACAGTATTGCTATGTTGCTCTTACCTGGCCTGATTACTCACTACATAGACCAGGTTCTAACCTGAAGCACTGAAGCAATTATCCTGCCTCTGCCAACTGAGTGCAAGGATCAAAGGCATGTGCCACAACACTCAGCTTACAAAATAATCCTCGTAAAAAAATCAGGCTTCAAAACTCTCATCTAGTTTTCTTCATCTTCTCAGTCAGTCAAGTAATCACTTTCCATGAGATTTTTGGTTTTGTAGTTCTCTCTTTGCAGGTCTGGGGATCAACTAAGGGTTTTGCATATGCTGGGCAAGCACTTGACCCAGTGAGCTATACTGCAAGCCCTGCATTTTTATTTTCCTTTAGTCTCTAATAGAGACCCTTCCCGGGTATCAAATACTGACTTGCATATGTGTCATGGGAAGCAATGATTAAACCTTTAGATATCTAGTCTCAGAGATTCTGACACAAGTATCTGCTTTGTAAAAAAAATCTAACCAGGGGCTGGAGAGATGGCTCAGAGGCTAAGAGCACTGACTGCTCATCCAGAGGTCCTGAGTTCAAATCCCAGCAACCACATGGTGGCTCACAACCATCTGATGAGAGTATCCGATGCTCTCTTCTGGTGTGTCTGAAGACAGCAACAGTGTACTCACATACATAAAATAAGTAAATCTTTAAAAAAAAACTAACCAGATAGAAAAAAATGAGGAAAAGGACAAAAGTATATAATTTAAAATTGATAGCTATAAATACTATAGCCTGGATTTACTTTATAGATTACAATTCTTAAATACAAAAAAACTAAACTAGTTTATTCAAAAGGAGACTATTACCTATTGGTTATATGTGTGGTTCACAATTTCCTTTCAACATGTTTTATTAAACTAATCTTATTAATTTACTTTATTAAGTTAAGCTTTATTAAGCAGAGGCAAAACTTAATTGACATGACTTTAGTGCCAAGCTACATGCTGAAAGATGTCACTTGAATATCTACCCATTCAAATTATAAACCACTCAGCACTTTACATGTCTCCCATTCTATTTCTATGGCAATCAATTTCCTTAGCAAATAAAGCATTAACATGAAGAACAATCAAATACATGCATGAATACTAACAATACAAGTTCTGGAGCCAGAGAAATCAAAGACTATATAATGAAGAAAAAAAATTGCTGATTCAGAAGTACAAAGAATAGCTTTTATGATGTTGCTTGCCTACCAGTTTCTAACATTCATATGCCTTTAACTTACTACCAACAATCTGGTTTTCCTAAAGAAACTGGTACTTTTCACAACAGCTGTTTCTGAGAATCCCAACCACCCTGTCCCCTACTTGATTTCTCCATAGATGTCTCACATGTCAAAACTACATGCTGCATATGGCTCATTTAATCTCCTGAACTCTTCAGGGATAGGCTGTTAAATCTCTAGTTGGTTTCCAAAAATGTAGTTTAGATATGAATTTAAAAAATAAATTCTGCTTCTCCCTTGATCAATTGAGTGATAGGTAATTACCTATTTTAGCCGCTGAAAATAAAAGAATACTGTCAGGATTAGAAGGCCACTCCTCACTGAGGAGCTGTCCACAGTTGATGGCTTCTAGGAAAAGGAGAGTCAGTTTTCTTCAAGGGTGTGGCCCCTAATGGGTCAACCATGCTCCAGTGGATGGACACACCCATGAGTACATGAGCAGTATAAACTAGGCTCGACTTTTTATATATATAAAAAGAGGGCATGAAGACTGTGGGTGTGGATCTGGAAGGAGTTAAAGGAAGGAGAGAGGAATGAATATGATAAAAACATATGGCTGGGCAGTGGTGGCACACACCTTTAACACCTTTAATCCCAGCACTTGGGAGGCAGAGGCAGGTGGATTTTTGAGTTTGAGGCCAGCCTGGTCTACAGAGTGAGTTCCAGGACAGCCAGGGATACACAGAGAAACTCTGTCTCGAAAAACAAAAAACAAAAAAAAAAAAATTGTATAAACTATTCAAAGAATTAATCAAAACAGGCCCAAAACAATTGTGTGTGTGTGGGGGGGGTGGTTAGTGAAGGTCATTAATTTGTTTCTTAAAGAACTAAGACATAATTAGGGTTTTTTTTTGTTCTTTTAAGGGTTAGGTAATAGGACTCTCTCTAACCAACATCTCTACCACATTCATGTCTTCAGAATATCTTTAAGGTATATTTGGCAATGTTTGAGTTTAGAATTCTAGAAATGTAGGGCATGATGGAGTTTTGTCTTTAAAGATTCTGTTCCTTTTATGAAAATGAAACCAAACTAACCATCCATCAACAATCCCAAGCTTTGCTCATGGACAGCCTGTAGTATCCATACAAGAGTATCTACTTCCCAGACTTTAAACTTCTTTTGACCATTATTACAAATGTCAGAAACTGCCAGTGAAAAAAATAACATAAATGAGCTAACAACGCAACGAAGAAAAAAAGGATGTTCACACTTTTTATCAAGTATATTCTTGACTTAGTGGATCTAAAGAAAAGAAGGCTAGGTCCTAAAATAGACTCTTCTACACTTAAGAAGGACTAGAAAGATAGGAAGCAGCAATCATATAACTGAGGCAAGTTGAAGTAGAATTAAAAAAAAAAATAGGCGTGAGAAGCCAGGCAAGGTGGCACATGGCTATAATCCCAGCTTTGGGAGACTGAGTTAGAAAGACCACAAAGTCAGGATCATCTCAGACTACATGGCAAGACTGCATGTCCAAAAATTAAAACAGAAAACACACAAACAATACCCAAAACAGCAGGTGAGGAAAAGCAGAAGAGCCAAAGACCTTAGAATATAAAAGCCAACAAATTGCAACAGTGTTTCTGAACTTAACAGAAAAAAAATCACATTACACCTGAATGAGAAACACAATTGCCTTCTACGCTAATAAGTCTAGGCTACAGGCAATCCTAACACCCGTCTATACACGACAACAGGGAGACAACAGGAGAGGCCTGAAAACACACATCCTACTCAAACATTGAAAAGGTAGGACTTTTTCAACAAATAACCTTTAAACTACTTAAATAAGCTGGATACTGGCCTTATAAATATAACTGGAAAAATAAAATAACAAAAACGGTTCACTGGGTAAAAGTACTTGCCACCAAGCCTGATGACTAAGTGTGATCCCAGTAGAAGAGAACAGACTTATAACAAGTTGTCCTTTGACCTCCATCCACATGCCATACCTTAAGAGCACGTGTGTGCACATACACACAAATAATATATGTAATTTTAAACACCAACAAAAAGAATACAACTGGTTTAAAACAGTTAAGAGGGAAATATTAAAGAGAATTGTTATTTCCTTGTCTTTTCTCCTTATGCCCTCTAGAAATAAGGCTTGAAAAATAAAACAAAATTAAAAAAAAAAAAACCCAAGCTAGAGTTTCTGTTGAACATATTCTGTAGGATAGTCTCCATGGTCTTTCTTCACACAATTCCCCAGCCAAATCAAGGACCGCTGCTCTGAGGTAGTTCACTATTCCTTTAGAATTCCTTTAGAACATTCCTGTGCCAGTTATTTTCTCAGCTTGTTACTAGAACTTTAACCTAGTTCCTTATCTTCTAAACTCCACAGACAGAAAACCTAGGCCCTTATCTTCCAAATTCCAAATGCAGCATTGCTTCAGGACTGGGGCTAGATTAAACTGACCATAGTGTTATTTGTACATTTACATTTTTCCCATACTTCAAAGTCTGAAAATTGTTTCTATTAGTCTTCTATGTGAAGGTGAAAAAAAATCCAAATTCTAATGACTGCATCCTGTTGTTTTCTTGGCAAAGCTGTCTATTGTGACTTCCATATAGAACAAGAGGACCCCGCCACCCTTACTTGTGTAAGAGTGCAGAAAGGTACTTCAAATCAAGTCCACGAAATAACTGTGACCACAGGTTTCTTAATTTTCATTGAATATTTACACAGTCCCCCCTCCCCCTCCCCTGATCCCGAATGACCATAAATCGTGAAAAGCCAATAAACTATAAATGTGTGCATTCTAAAATTCTTTTAAACTAAGCCTTGACATCTGGTCTTTGTTTCGTTTTTAGCCACTTTGCCTTATGTTTGTCCAACCATAACATCTCAAGTAAGGCATCAGACTCAAGTATTAGTGAATTGGTTCTATTCTACACTAGATCAAAGCTTGCCCCTTAGATTATACATAAACAGTGTCTATTGCTCTATTCATGTCAGTAGGTGGAAGGTGGCATGTCCCGGAACAAACCTGCACTCCAGGGATCTGTTCTCTTTTCCTTGGTTGGGTAAATAATGCCTTAAGTTTTCTTAATGGTGACTTTGTTCCTTCGCATCCAACCTGTAGAGTGCCTGTTCTTTTGACTGTGGGACAATGGAGGCCTCCCCCACCCAGTGCTTTGATAAATACAGAGGAGAGACTAGGTACAGGTAAATGGTTCAAGAGGTTTGGGAGTACATTAGCTGTTTGGAGCTCACTCTCTTGGAGAAGAGTGGAAAGCAAGCCTAAACAGCCATGACCTTTTTGCAGCTAAACCCAGATCAGGGAGATGCTTATGGACTCTTGCCAGAGGAAAGGCAAGTGCTAGTGAGGATGATGTGACCTAGTCTTGGGGTTGTGCAGAAACGGTGTTCGCTCCCTGCCGCCCACGTGCTTGATGGAGAGCGAGGATCCAGGTGGCACACACTCACCGTGCTGCTCTGGCCGGGGCCCAGCGGGCTGAGGTGGCGGGTCCTGATGCTGCAGCGGAGAAGTAGAAGCTGAGGCCGAGGCGGAGGCTGACGTGATGAGGAGCCGCTGGAAGCGGTTGGGCGGGCGACAGGGCACCTCCAGTCCGGCCGCCAGCTTGGCCTTGTTGGCACTGGTGAGCCTCTTGAGGTGAACGAGCAGCTGAGGCTGGTCGCGGCGGAAGTGCGGGCTGTGGAAGTGGTGGAGTGGCCCGTCGCCCGCCGGCCCGCCAGCCCCAGGCCCGGGCCCGGGCCCCGCCGCCCCCGGCCCACCTAGCACCACCTTGCGGAAGCCGTAGAGGTTGAGCTGGCGGATGAAGCTGGTGAAGTTGGTAGTTTTGAAGAGCTCGGGCTCGGCCCCGGCCGCCCCGACGCCGCTGCCGCCACCCCCGCCGCTGCTCCCGGCTCCCCCCGCGCCCCCGGCACCCGGGCCGGGCGGGCTGAGCAGCTCGGCCTCGAAGAGCGGCTGGTCGATGAGCAGCCCCTCGCCGCGGCCGTCCCAGCGGATGGAGCGGTACCGAGGGCTGTTCACCAGCCGCCACAGCTTGGCGGGGAAGTTGTTGGGGTTGATGGGGGTGGACAGCAGCGCCTCCTCCATCGCCCGCCCGGGCCCTGGGCCTCGCCCCGCCGAGCCTGGCTCTCCCACCGTTCTCGATCCCCCGGGCCTTCGCTGCGCCCTGCCCCCTCCTGCCAGCGCCCGGCCGCCGAGGCCCGGACCGTTGGCGGAGTCCCGGCACGCCCTCCGGTGTGGCCAATGGGGCCTCGAGTTCCCGCCGCGTGGTGGCCGACGGGGCACGAGCCCGCCCTCCCCCTCGGTGGGGTGCATGCCTTCGACGGTGGCGGCGGGGACACTGCGACACAAGGCTACCTTCGCGTGCCTTCCAGAACCGGCCCCTCTCCGTCTGATCCCCAGAGGGCAGCACACCAGGGAACTGTGGTTCCTGAGGAGAAAGCGGTCCGGTTTACCTCAGCAAGCTCTGAGGGGCTCCGGCAGGGCAGGGCGGCCAGCAGGGATTCAGAACGCAGAGTGTGCTCAGACGATACACAGCTAATGGTTCCTGAGAACAGAGGAAGCCCACTCCAGTCTTCCCTGACAGTAGAACTGCTGCTCTCTTCAAATAAAAATGATGGGGGTTGGGGGCTGGAGTAGGTACAGCAACCATAGTACATGAACTCATTCATCTTATATATAGTATAGTTACACCTTTAAAAAAAATGAATTCAAATTAGATGAGACCCGTGGTACCTGACAGAAAGGAAGAGAGATAGGTATGTGCTTACTGATCAGCTGTGATCTCCCAGACAAGAAAGAGAAATGAATCTCACTTGAAAGGGAACTCAACAAACCCAAAATACTAGAGGGGACCGCCAATGAGTACTAGTTTGTTTTGGTTTTGCTATAAAGCTCAGCCTGGACCACAAACTTGCCTTAATCCTCCTGCCTTTAGCTCCTGAGTACTCGGTGTACAACAGGGCTAGGAATCTAGTCCAGTGGCGGAATGCTTTATCCATTAAGCTAGGTTCAATCCCAATCCCAGTAAGAAATAAAAGAGACCCAACAAAGCAGCACTAATATAGAGATTTTATTTGAACTGTATTGAGTCTTTACAGCACACTGCATGTTTATCACAACGCAACTGCACAGTTTGGATTTTTGGCCACATCATGTCACTTACACCCACAACAGCTCTGAAAGGATGGACACATCTGAGCCAGGAGCCCAGAGTCTCTCTCCAAGGCCATGCAATCTGATGGGACAGTCCCTCAAAACAGTCACACAAAGTAGACAGATACAGTCTCCCAGAATGTTTCCGATCCCCCTGAAAACAGAGTGAAGTGCAATGAAAACTGGTAATTAAAAAGCCACTTGTGACTGGCAGTAACATTTAATGATTGAGAAAATGCTTAAAATAATTTTATGTATCAGAGACAAGTAGTTTGTCACTCTTTCATTGATCTTAGGAATTTCCCAGACACAAAAAATCTCCATTATTCAGCTCCATTAAAATGGAAAAAAAAAAGTGCTAGGCTGACCTAAATATGCCAAAACTTTTTAGGTTACACCCATGGCAAGTATAAAAGGAGGCATTGCTTCACTGTAGGACTGAAGAAAAGGTCAGGAGAAATAATCTCTATTCTAAATGCAAGCTCTGCTTAGTTTGGAATGAAAAAAAAAAAGTTTTCTAGAAAGCAACATAACAGTAGCAGGTGAGAAAGACAGCAGTTTTAACAGTGAGCAGTGTTATCTTCTCTACATTAATGCATTAAGGAATGTAGCTAGGAAGTCCTATAAGCCAAGAAGACTGTATCTGCCCCACCACAGTACATGGCTGTATTACTGTATCTTTTGGTTAAGTGCCACTGGTACATAGTAAGATGAAAAACAAAATCTAAATAAAACAAAACAAAGTGTTTGGTCCAAATGGACACATCCTCACTCCCAATTTTGGTATCAAGGCTTTCTTCCTTCTGTTTGGGTTCCATTGTTAAGTGCACAGAAATAGACAGCAGCATTTGTACTGAAACCCTCACATACCAAGTAGCTTTGCTAGGAGGTAAAAACCAAATGCTATATTATTCTACCCTCAAGGTGTCAAGTGTTCAGGATAAGAAGCAGTGTGACCCAGAGGAGGCAGCGGCCAAGGGAAAGACAACATGGGGGAAGTGGGCAGTGGAACAACAAAATCCTTTATTTTCATGCCAGGAGAGGATCAAGGTGTAGCTCCCATGTTAGCACCAGGACAACTAGGAAAAGTCAGGTGCAAAGGGTAGGGCACAATCAGCAGAATTCACAAGGATAATCTTGCTTTTCCCTTCTCATTCTTCACAGTGTGTACCTCAAGAGCAGCCACTGTGTAATAGTGACAACTGCCTTCACAGCTCAGAATAACTGATTCTCACAAGACTAAGCATCACCAGAGTTTTTCTGTTTCCAAAAGTGTCTTAATCCTCAGAACTGTCCCTCTGAAACTGAATATTCCCTGATGCTAGTCAATGAGCCAGGTGAAAAATGCATCCAAACCTCCATTTGCCAAACCAGTCTTTGAACCAAACTCCATAGAAGACAGTGCTAATCAACTAGAGGGAGTGCCTCTAAAGACTGAGCCTTCATGCACAGACACAGAGCACAGAGGTACAGAAGAGAGTTCAACTCAAATAGGATGGGAATTCCTATCTTGTATACTATGATCTGCTCTTTCCAAGGTAGAGGAGAGGTGGGTCTCACTATCACTTGGAGTTTGGTTATAAGTATGTCTTTCTATTGCTGTTTGGGCACTGTGCACCAGGCAGTATTTATGAATCATCATCTCGGGACCTCCAGGAGATAGAAGCTGGAGTCACCAACTCAGTGTGAAGCTTCCAGACTCTGAGTCTGGATCAGGACCATTACCCCAAAGTGAGGGTCTCTCCAGTAGAAAAATCTCCTGCCAAATTCAAATTCCTCTGCTCCGGTCACATGGTAACAAGGAGGATTTCTCAAGACGGTATCTTTGAGCTCTGTGTTCATGAGCCATACCAAGGAACCTTCCAGACTACACCTGAAGCAGATCCTCCCTTCAAACCTGCTAAAAATGGACAGATCATCTCCTCTGGCATTCAACTGGAAGCCGTAGCAATGGGTTTCTTCAGATGTTGGCTCATGAGTTCCCTGGCACGAGATACTTGAATGTGTTCGTAACATGAGTTACAGACGAGAACTGGGTCATAGAGTTGCTGATCAGGAATGGGCAGCTTAAGGTGGCAGCATCCAGCACAAAATACGTTCCCACAATTTCTGCCAAAGTACAAAGAGGGAGGAGGAGCTCGTCAGAAATATCCATGTTTTGAAAATGAATAATAGTCTAAAAGGGTATCCATGAATAAATAAAAATGTTGGATGAAAATAAAAATATTTACTACTAAGATATCTCCATTTTCAAATTAATTTAGCTCTATACAAGAACCCTACATTATGAGTAACAACGAGGAGATGCAACAAAACAAAAACCAATCTTACCTGCAATGATGTCTTCGTTTGGCCAACCAGAATTCACAGTCACAGTTATAGCAGTGTGATGCCATATGGTCTGGAACCCAGCGAGTAACCTACCAGAAGGCACAAAGGAAAAGTCTAGGTCCATGTCCAAAGAGGTGAAGAACAACATTGCAATCCAGAAAGTAGCCCAAAGGAAAATGAGCAGGATGGTTTTTATGACTGGCACTACTTGCCTACAAGGATGGCATTCATCTGGGGGGGAGAGCTCCGGCCACAGTAGGCCATTCATCTCTGAGAAATATAATCCAGTGGCTTGCATGAAGTACCCACCACACATCTGCCTACACATACATACCTCAGTCTCCTTCTTATCAACAGGTTCCCAGCTTGCTTCTGAAAGGCAGTCTTCACTGTGATCAGAGCCAAAGTCTTCAGTGTCACTGCCATCTGACTCCTTCAAACATGTCTGCAGTGTAAGCAAAAACATCAACATTACTTCCTGCATTACAAGTCATTCACTGTATTTCTTGTTACAGCCTAGCTAAGTGTTGGCAAACTATGGTCCAGAAGCCAAATCTACCCTGTTTTTCTAAATCAAGTTTTACTGAAACATGGCCATAGTCATTCATTTATATATTCTCTATGGCTGCTTTTGTGTCACAATGGCCACACAATAGTTGTCTTATAGGCAGTCTGGCCCACACAACCTAAAAATGTTTACCATCTGGCCCTTACAAAAACTGGTTGAGTATTTAAAGCATCACCTGACCAGTAAGAAGCTGTCAGTCCTATCTATTCTATCAGCAGGCAATGAGAGCACCTGAATGGATGGAAGGGAAGTAGCCATGTAGACAGCAAGGGGCAAGATGGCTCCTAGAAGCTCCCTGAGGACTACAATGCCAGAATCTAAAACAGAATGTGGTTTTCCACATTCTAGTAAAGCCTAAGTGGTCCTCATAATCCCTCACCTGGATTGTTTTAAAATGTCCCAACCAAGCCAGGAATAGTGACACATGCCTTTAATCCCAACACTTGGGAGTAGAGCCATGCAGATCTCTGTGAGATCAAGACCAGCCTGGTCTACACAGAGAGTTAGTTGCAGGACAGATAATGCTATACAGAGGAAGCCTGTCTTGAGTAAATAAATAAAAAGCCCTACCCAGCCACCTAATCTGGGTCTCACTTAAGTCATCAGAAGGTACTCATGCTGATCCTCCATCAACTCTCAGTGTTCCCTCTCATCTATAGTAGCGGTCTGCCTTACAATCCCAGCACAGAATGTGCACACTATGTACACACTCACACCCACACATCCCCCACCCCTTTGTTAAACCATGTCACTGGAGCATCTACTGCCTCCATGCTTCTGACAATGCTCTCTCCTTCTCCCTGTCTACCTAGCTAAATAGCACATGCTTCAGCACTTGGCATAAGCATTATCTTCTCAGAAGAGCCTTCCTCGCCTGCCTGATCCTAACACCAGAAAAATCACCCTGTTTACTCATCTTTCGTCACGATGGGAGCGCCTAACTCAGTGGCTCTCAGAAAGTACCCAACAAGTGCTACTGAATGGATAGAAGGCTGGATGGGCAGAATAAACGGACAGGTGACAGCTGGCGAAT